TGCTCAGTTACTGAGTCGATGTGGATGGACGGGCTCAGGGAGGCAAGAAGTCTTACCCTAAAGGACCCTGGCTCAAGAAGCTGGTCAAGCCACGTTCTTTAAGACAAGGGTTACCATTCAGAGAGAAATGGTTTCTCTCTATATAGAGCCTCCGTTTCTTTTATTTATTTATTTATTGGTCTTTCGAGACAGGGTTTCTCTGTAGCTGTGGAGCCTGTCCTGGAACTAGCTCTTGTAGAACAGGCTGGCCTCAAACTCACAAAGATCCGCCTGCCTCTACCGCTGGGATTCTTCATGGTTCTTATCATGTAGCTTCCTCCTGAACTTATTTCTAAAGTAAAGAGCTCCACGTGGGAGGTCAAAAGACCTTTAAGGTGGAGGGATTATTAGACGACTGGGGGAGGGGGGACTGGGAAGGAGCTAGAGAAGTGATGGGAGGTGGGGCAGACAGCGTATACCAACCAGTAAAAACAAGCAGCACCAGAGGTTCAAGAAGTATCAGTCTCCATCTTGTACCATGGACTACTAGGAGGAAAGGTATATTTTTCTAAATGTCACCAGCGAAGCAGAGTAAATAATAGGTAGGTTCCAATACCCAAGACACCCGAGAACTGACAGAGCCTCAAGGAAAATCTCACTATAGATATTTAGGGGCTACCTACCAGTTAGACAAGTATTGATTATATATTGTGTACTTGATACGCTGTGGCCTTGGCACTCTGAGGGGGCACTGTTGGGAACATTGGGATTGGGGGGCATTGTCCGTGCCTTTGGTATTTACAGTTCACAAGACTAATTACATGAACCCCTAAACCATGTCATATAGATTGGGGAAAACTGGAAAACAGATGAAAAAATACTAGACAAGAAATTTGGGTATGGGGGATAAGCAAACACTTTTTTATTAAAAGGCATAGGATTTAAGCTTGGCCTCCAGTAGAATTTTGAGAGGGAAATGTCTTCCTAGGAAAGAGGGACAGAGAAATTACACCTCATGAAAGTATTGTGTGTGTCCCCATTGGCAGAAAGAAGACTGGGATTTTTTTCCTTCTGGTGTTTTGAGAAAGGGCCTCACTCTATAACTCTGGTTGTCCTGGAACTTGGATCTGTAGACCAGACTGGCCTTGAACTCACAGAGATCCCCTCTCTGCCTCTAGAGTTCTAGAATTAAAGGCCTGGCTTGGGATCTCAGTCTTAGAGAGTTATCTGGCTGACCTAAAGGGGTCTAGAGAAGAAAGGAGTACCAGCTGAACTGAACTTGTAGCCCTTTAAGCTTATTCAGAGAACCAGCCAAGGACAGGTCATACCCAGGCTGGTATGGCCACCATCCTGTACCCTCCACCATCTTGTATCCTCTACCTAAGCCTGCACATCAGGAAAAGAATGATACTATGGAATGCTTTTTCCCAACTGAGTCTATTTTTTTCCAAGGTCGAGTACTCCTCCGAGCCCATCAACCCAACCCTACACCCAGAGATCTGAAAGGAGCTATTCTAGAGTAGATAGCTGCTCTCCCTGGAGATTAGGTTGTTACTTTGTCTCCCTGTGAGAAGTCTGGGGGAGACATTGAGCTTGGGAAATGTGTATTTCTCCCCTGATTTGACTTTTGAGTCTTCTGCTGCTGTGTCCCAGCCTCCCCTTAGATAGGACTACTGGCTACCAACCTCCCCTACACATACCTCATGCCTCTTTTCTACACCTCTGTCCCATCCAGAACTCCATCCGTCACAACCTGTCCTTGCACAGCAAGTTCATCAAGGTTCACAACGAGGCCACTGGCAAGAGCTCCTGGTGGATGCTGAACCCCGAGGGTGGCAAGGGTGGCAAGGCGCCCCGACGCAGGGCTGCCTCCATGGATAGCAGCAGCAAGCTGCTCCGGGGTCGCAGCAAAGGCCCCAAGAAGAAGCCATCGGTCCTGCCAGCTCCACCTGAAGGTGCCACTCCAAGGAGCCCTCTAGGCCACTTTGCCAAGTGGTCAAGCAGCCCTTGTTCTCGAAACCGCGAAGAAGCTGATGTGTGGACCACTTTCTGTCCACGAAGCAGTTCAAATGCTAGCACTGTTAGCACCCGACTGTCCCCAATGGGGCCAGAGTCTGAGGTGCTAGCAGGAGAGGAAATGCCAGCCTCAGCCAGCAGCTACTCGGGGGGTGTTCCTCCCCCCCTCAGTGAAGATCTAGAGCTGCTGGATGGGCTCAATCTTGCGTCTCCCCATTCCCTGCTGTCTAGGAGCAGTCTGCCTGGCTTCTCGTTGCAACATCCTGGGCTTGCTGGCCCCTTACATAGCTATGGTGCCTCTCTCTTTGGCCCAATAGATGGGTCTTTGTCAGCAGGAGAAGGGTGCTTTTCAAGCTCCCAGTCTCTAGAGGCCTTGCTCACCTCTGATACACCACCACCTCCTGCTGATGTTCTCATGACCCAGGTAGATCCTATTCTGTCTCAGGCTCCTACACTTCTGTTACTGGGAGGAATGCCTTCCTCTAGCAAGCTGGCTACTGGAGTTAGCCTATGTCCTAAGCCGCTAGAGGGTCCAGGTCCCAGTAATGTGGTTCCCAACCTTTCTGTGATGGCACCACCTCCAGTCATGGCAGAGGCTCCCATCCATAAGGCCCTGGGGACCCCTGTGCTCTCATCTCCTACTGAAGCTACCAGCCATGACAGAATGCCTCAGGATCTAGATCTTGATATGTATTTGGAGAACCTGGAGTGCGACATGGATAACATCATTAGTGACCTCATGGATGGCGAGGGACTGGACTTCAACTTTGAGCCAGGTATAGCAGCCCCTGATCACTACTGCATCTCTGTTCTTGAATGCTCAGCTAATTCTATGATCTGAGCCAGAAGGAGCATTAGAGCTGATAACAGGTGTTCCTGGAGAGTTGGAGGGAGGATGGCATATTAGCTAGCATCACTTCTAAGTGGGACTTCCTGGCTCCTCATCACAGAAGGGGGAGGTGTGCGGAGGGAGAGAAGGAAGTATCTGGTTGGTATAAGTCTGGATGGTGCCCCCAAATGAATCTTTTATCTTGTCCTCCGTTTCTTTATTTTCCAACAGATCCCTGAGTCACAACCAGAAGCTTTGTCCCCTGCTTCAGAGGTGGAGCCCGGCCTGTCCTTACCTACCCACTTTTTCCCCTTGAGCCCTCACCTAGAATTTGGAACCCTGCTTTCTAGCTAGGGTTAGGAGGTCACACACATGAGTGCTGAGGGAATCATAAGGCTAAAGCTATGGCATGTAGGGATTGTGGAGGAGGGCGATGGGAGGAGAAAGGGGAGAGGGCTTATTCTCACTGTGCCAATTAGGGGGCAATTATGGCCCTTTCTCAGGAGCCATCATTGATTTCCCCATTCCCACCTCCTAGGCCTTGTAGCAGGGGCTAGCAATGCTGTTAGAACTGTGAAGTCACCAGTGGCCTTATTACCCCTGCCTTTGGGAGCAGGATTTTTTTTTCTTTTTTTTTTTTCTTTTTTCTTTTTTTTTTTTTTTTTGTAGAGAGTCTTACTAGAGCCGAGCCAGGCCAGGTTGGGCCTGGATTTTTATGCAGTGGGGTGGGGGGTGGGGGGTTAGGGGACCTAGAAAGGCCAAGTTTTGAGCACTGGAGTGGCTCACCAGGCCAAATCACTTTTGGAAGGATACAGATAACAGACAGGCTTTTTATAAACTTTTAAAGAAATATAAACACAAATATAGAGATTTTTAACAGTGGTGAGGTGCTAGTAATGGGGAGAATGCTTTTTTTTTCTTTCTGAAGGCTTTGGCATAGTGACATGATACAAACACTACAAATTCTAGGAGGGAGACACAGGAAGCTGGGGAGAGGTGGGTAGCAAAGGCGACTGGAGGGAAACCCTCCCTTTTGGACCAGGTCTAGAAAAAGTTGCATGCATATTTAGGTTAGAGTTTAAGGAAAGAAACCTAAGGCAAGCCCCTGCATCCTCTCCACTTGTGCCTAGAAGGTCCTGTTGTGGAGTGGGCACTCTGTCTGACTACCAGAGAGCATCCGAGGCCAGAAATTGGCTTAGGGCCTGGGAGGGGCGTGAAAGAAGGAAGGATTTAGGGTAGTAAAGTTAGGTACAGAGACCTCCCTGTTCAAGGCTTGGGACAGCTGTCCCTGCCCTTCTTCCCAGTCATGGACTGCCAGGGTTCTGTGGAAGACTGTGTGGTGGCAGGCTGGGCTGTGGAGAGGAACAGGGAAGGGGGAGCTTGGGGAGTTTGGCTGAGGGTCTGGGAAATGAGCAGGGATGGGGGGAATGTGGATCAGGTTTACTAGCACCTGCCAGAGAGGCCATCTGGGGCTCCTCCACCCCAGCCCCCAAGCAGCCCCTCCCCCTAGTGTCCTTTGCATTGTCCCCTCCCCCACCCCTGCTGTGGGTTCCCATCATTTCCTGTGTCAGCGCCTGGCCTACCCAGATTGTATCATGTGCTAGGTTGGAGTGGGGAAGTGTGTCAAATCAATAAATGAGTTCAATAAATGTCTATAATCAGATCTGGTTTCTGGTTTCTGCAGCCTTGCTGCCCCACTCCAATATAGGGGAGGGAGGGAGGCGGAAAAGCAAAGGGCAGTTAGTTGAAGGGCGGGTGGGGAGGGACTGCCCACAGGCTGGGAGGTGGGGGAATTTCAGCCTGGGAGGTAATGGAGTGTGGTGGGGGAGGGACACCTAACCCCAGCCGGAGTGGGCGGCTGCGAGATAGGCTTCCCCAGAGGGGAGGTAGTCTGGTTTGAGAAGACCCCACCCCCTTCTCTGGCCCTCAAAGGCTCATTGTACTAAAAGTCTAGTAACCAGACTTCACAGTCATTCCTCACCCCCCACCCCACAAGTGTTCACTCCAGCCCTCTGTTGTCGCTCAGGTCCACCCTCAGCGTCCCTGGTGCCTACTGAAGCCTTTGTGCAGATATGGGGAGAAGGAGTCTTTCTAGAAAAAGAAAGCCTCACATAAAATTCCACTAATTTCATGCTCTCCCCTGGTAGTTGCTGCTCTCAGTTGGTCATTTATTGAGTTAACGATGTCTCTTGAGAAAGTCTGCTCTAGTCTTATAGAATGGTCTGCGGGTGGGAGCTGGCCCATCTTCATCTGATCGTCCAGCTTTAGACTAGAAAAGAGAAATAAAGCTATTAATATCGAGGCTCTGCAGGAAAGGTTTCTACTGTCTAGGGCCGAAGGAAGGAGAAGAGAGGTTGGAGTCAGGTGATGAACATAGACATGAGATTTAGACAGGAAATTCTGAGGGGTCAGCAGGGCACAAACCTTCTGTTGACTGCTTTGACTAGCGCTCTGCTGGGTTCCACCACCCTTGGGGGATCTTGCTGGAAGATTTACAGAGGATTCCATGGCTGCCAATCTCTTAGCCTCTAGAGTTCTAAGCATCTTTATTCGGCTTCTCTCCAGGAAGTCACATTGTGTGCGCAGGGACTCTAGAAAACAAGAAAAAGCAGCATCACCTCTGAGGAAGAGATATGGAACCCACCATGACCCTCCATCATTCCGTTGATTAGTCAGGGTAACTTGACCTACAGAGGAAGTGAGGAGAGGGTGGTGTTTGGCTGGCTCCCACAGGTGGTTGGGAAATGGAAAAGACGACAAGGACATGGGGGAAGGAGTGACATGTATAGTTAGTTTAAACTAGACAACCCCCTAAAGAGTTGACCTAGACCCTTGTCCCCCTTTTCCTAAGCTCCTATGATCCCACCTACCCCAGTGTGCTAGCCCCACCCCCACATTCATACTCTCCCTTCCCTGATAGACTTCTCCACATCCAGCCTTGGCTGCCTTTACCTCAAAATCCTCTGGAGTATCAGGGTTACCAGTGTTGGTACTATGCCCAGCACACAGCTACATACACAGCTTCCTATGCCCTTCCTCCCCCATCACATGACTTACCAACTAGTTCAGGTTCTGGATTCTTCAAGAGGGGCACAACAGCTTTGTAGGAATTCTCGATCCTGGTGCCTGTAAACATAGCATTGTGCTATTTCCAGCCCCTGAGACATACCAAGTTTCTATCCTTTTTTTGGTTTTTTGAGACAGGGCTTTTCTGTAGCTTTGGAGCCTGTCCTGGAACTTGTTCTGTAGAACAGACTGGCCTCGAACTCACAGAGATTCGCCTGTCTATGCCTCCCTAGTGCTGGGATTAAAGGCATGCACCACCACTGCTCAGCAAGTCTGACTTTTTGAAGCCCATTATTTCAGGATTCTTCACTAAATATTTACTTGAGCTCGTGCACATTTCCCTCCCCTTTGGCATAAACCTACAAAAATCGTAGGATGAAGTAGGGCGACATGATATATACATGAACCTAACCTACTGCCATCAAAGCAATGTCCCTTCTTTGAGCTGATTAGACATGGTCAATTTGGATCTGATTAAGGATACCCTATTTTATTTACTAATTTGTTGTCGGGGGGGGATAGGATTTCATATAGCCCAAGTCCACTTTGAACACCCAATGTTCCTGGCTCCAACCTGTGGGTGTTTTCTGAGGCAGTGTCTTGCTATATGGCCCAAGCTGGCCTCCAACTCTCAATCCTCCTTACCTCAGTTTCTAAAGAATGTATTTATGTTGTGTGGTGGTTAGCAGGGGCAGGCAGGGAACTAGAGAACTATGCGAGTTCCAGGACAGCCAGAGCTGTTACAGAGAGAAACTGTGTCTCAGAAAAAGAAAAAAAAGAATGTATTTATTTTGAGGCAGGGTCTTATGAAACCCAGGCTGTCCTCACAGTTACTGTATGGTTAAAGATGACCTCAAACTTCTGATTCTCCTGTCCCCACCTCCCAAGTGCTAGAATTATAGGCATGCTCCACCACATAGAGTGTGTGCTGGGGATGGGACCCAGAACTTCATGCATGCTAGGTGAGCACTCTGCCAACTCAACTGAGCTACATTCCAGCCAGCCCTGCTTTATGTTTGTTGCTGTTGGCGTGTGTGTGTGTGTGTGTGTGTGTGTGTGTGTGTGTGGTGGTGTCTGGAATGAGATTGTGCTATGAAGCCCAGGCTGCCCTGAATTGAATTTACAATCCTTCTGCCTTAGTTCCCCGAGTGCTGGGATTACTAGAGAAAGGGGCCTTATTTTAATCCCTTTTGTGGGTCTCTATGGCGAATACCCCAAGCCTCTACCTGCAGCTCCACGCTCTACTTTACAAACGTAGTAGGTATTTCGTGCTGAAAGGAATTTGCTGGCGTAGTCCCCAGGTGTCTTTGTTAAGAAAAGTAACTTCATGGTCCCAGTTTCATCACACAAATCGATGGTGTCTAAAGGAAGGCCACGGGGTAATTGAGACAAGTAAGAAGAGAGAACGCGAGTGAAAAGGGCTAGTGACCCAGTACAGAATGGGCTGGAGTTGAGGAAGGCTCAGGGATATGAGGATAGTTCTTGTTGCTGGGAGGAAAGTTTAGATGCCAGAGTCAGCTTATGGCTTCTGACCTTCAGCCGCTGCTCCTCCCCAAAGTACTTACCTGTTTTACGCAACCCCATTTTCTTTCTAATGTAATGTAGCAACAGGAGAACAGAGCAGTTGCTGTTGACCAGAAACTCTTGGTTATCTAGAAGAGATGGGACAGAGGTATGCGGGCCCTTCTCTGGGTCCATCCCCTCTGTGATCTCTGCCGTCCTCAGCCCTCCCCAGGTCCATGCCCAGACTTGCTTTGTGCTTGTCCCTCACCTCCATGTTTGATGAAGATAAACATGCTATCAAGATCATCTCACTCTTCAAAGATCTCCTGGTGAGTCATGCAGAGGGCAGGTGTTCTAGTGGCCCCAGGCACCTGAGAGTGCCCATAGGGTTGGATGACCAAAGGGGCAGGTGTTTCTTACAAGGTGAAGAAGGCCCAGACCGGGCAGACAAGAGAGTGCTTTTGGCAGCTAGGGATGATCAGCATCTGGAGGGGTGGGGTCTGAGGCTGCAGCTGGAGGATTGTGAGGTCAGAAGGGGCACACAGACTAGGTGAAATGTGACCAAGAGGCGAAGACACTGGCTGGAATCTGTAAAAGAACTCTGAGGAGCTGGAACAACACGGCAAATGCAACTCTAAACTGGCCCCCAGAATAAGCCCAGAAATTTAGCAGAGAGAAGTAAGTTAGAAGAACAGTCCTCCCTTTCGTTACTTTGTAGCGCTCTTGCTCTGTACTACCATTGTCCATCCCTCCCAACTCCATGCTTCCCCTGCTTCCGGACCCCACAACAGACATTTCCGATGATCATTGGTAGAAACTTTATTTCTTGTTGGTTCCTGAACAATTGAATGGTAGGTGGGAAAGGGGAGAAAGGATCCTGTAACAGAGAAGGGCCATGCTGGGCATGGTCGTACATGCAGATAACCGGCACACTCTGGAGGCTGAGGTGGGAGGGTTGCCTGAGTTATAGGCCAACCTAGCCTACATAGTGAGTCCCCAGCCACCCAGGGTTATAGGGTAAGACTGTCCCCAAAAACAGGGGAAGGTGCCAGAAGGGGGTGGGGGTGGGGCTTGCGCAGGGAAAGGGGGCTAGGGGCATTTCTCAAGTAGGGCATATTGAGTGGACGAGCAGCTATATGGGGGCATGAAATTGAAATTTAGCCACAGGGAGGAAGCAATGGGCATTGGATTCAGACTGGCAAGATGAGCAGGGGGAAGTTAGCATCACTTAGGGTTCCATCAAGGGTTTGAGTCTTAGGCTTCAGGCTTCAGAGAATAACATGGAGGAGGCCAGTAGGGGCTATGCAGACTGCAAGGAGACCCTCCAGGCCCCTCTCCTAGGGCCCCTCCTTTGGGAGGAATCTCACTGACGAGGCAGAACCGTTCACTGTAATCTGGCTGCAGACTCTCAGTCAGCCCTTTAGACACACCACTCCAGGCCTAAAGACAGATATCCCCAGGTCAGAGGTCAATTAAAGACAGGAAGCAAAAGACCCATGCTTGGGGCCAAAGGAGCCCTCACAACTCTGCAACCATTGTGATTACAGAAAGGATACCCAAGTTCCAGGGCCCCTAATACCACAGTTGCCACCTGCATCACAAATCTCTTTTGCTCTGTCTCTTTGCCTAGCCCACCCTCCACTTGGTCAGCCACATCCTGATGATGCAGGCCCCCTCCTGCTTCCACTCTGCCCCCCTCACAGTCTGTCTCGCTAGCTGCTAGCTGGCAGTTGGCAGCTGATAGCCTGCAGTATGCGTATGGCAGTGTTCTCACCGAAAAGTTCCCGTTGTATTCAGTAACCAGATCCTCTAGATTCTTGATGGTGGGAATTCGAGGCATTGCCCTGAGCAGAAAGAGGGGGGAGCAGAAGCATTAAATTAAAGCTCCTTAGCCGGGCGGTGGTGGCGCACGCCTTTAATCCCAGCACTCGGGAGGCAGAGGCAGGCGGATCTCTGGGAGTTCGAGGCCAGCCTGGTCTACAAGAGCTAGTTCCGGGACGGGCACCAAAGCTACAGAGAAACCCTCTCTCGAAAAAAAAATAAATAAATAAATTAAAGCTCCTTTATGACCCTGCATTCAACTGGTCAGCGTGGAACCTATAGCTTCCTCTCCAAGCCCTCATCATAGCTCTTGATGCTCTACCTCTGCCAATCCTGAAATAACCCCTCCACCCCCCACCTCATTTTCAGGGCTTCCTGAACTCTCACCGTTCCAGCCAACAATACACAAAGATCAGGGTAATAATCAATCCCATGGAGCCAACAGAGATGAGCACAGCTTCCAGGGCAAACACGGAAGGATTCTCTGTAGAAGAAAAGGAAAGGAAAACGAGCCTTGCGTTTGTGGCACTCATAAGACATGGATGCCAGACACCCTGCCAAACACACTCCTTATGCTTACTTTCTCCACAGCTCCTGAAAGGGAGGAACATTGTTTATCTACATTTTACAGACGGATAAACCAAATCAAAGAGGTCAGCCCTGATCCAAGGGCATCTCCACTATGCAGATTCTATGGAATGCTGTCCAGACCTCCTACACATTCCATATTCCCTTTGAGCACTCTTTGGCCTCCTTGGGGAGCCACTCACCTACTCTGGCTGCACCCCTTCTCATCCCTACATAGAAAACGCTGCTTCATAATGATTGAGTTTGAACAGTGGGTGGAGGTAGAGGCTTAGGAATAGCGAGATAAAGCAAACAATAGTGGTAGTGTGTTACAAAGGTTGGGATACTGGGTTTATGATTTAAGGGTCATGTATTTGGGTCACTTTACCCTTTGCCGTTTGGCTTCCCCAGTGAATAGGTTGGCTCCATTTACTCCAGTGTTGAGCACTTCCACAGAGTGGGTTAAAGCGGCTCCGAACCCGGAATGTGTACAGTTTCTGCCCATCCACACTAGGCAGGGAGAATCTAGGGTTCTGATCCACTATTTGTTCCTGGAGAGAAGAAGGATGGGGGAAAGATGGTTGTCTATAAAGGAAGAGAGAATGGAAACATTCTTGCCTATACCTTAATGTCATCTTCTGATTCTTCCAATTTATCTTCGGGATCTTCTGACTTCTGGTTCTTTCCAGTTCCAGGAAAACAAAACAAGAAACTGGTTCTGGTTCCTCCCAGGTTTACTTCGCTTCTTTCCTGACTACTCACAACGCGCTGGTCCCTTTTCTAACTTGGCTCAGAAGTGGATCTCCCCTCCAGATCCACTCACTGTCTCCCTCATGTCTGCATCAGGAAGAGGAAAGCTCACTGGCGGTGATAGAAGAAGAAATGAAGCCAGGCGGTGGTGGTGTACACCTTTGACCCCAGCACCCAGGAGGTAGAGGCAGGTGAATCTCAGTGAGTTCGAGGCCAGGCTGGTCTCGGAAAACCAAAGGCAAAAAGAGAAAGAAAGTATGGCTAGAGGAGCTGGGAGGCAGAGAACTGAAGCTTAGCATTAGGTCCTTCTATCTGGCTAGTTGAGTCCTTTCTCCTCTCTTGCTTGGCCTTAGCTACCGCATCCACACCCGCAAGTCTCTCACCGTCCAGCTTCGATCTCTGTCACTCCGGTACTGCACCAAGTGTTGCAAACAGTGTTCCGTGTATGTGCTTTTCCAGCTCAGCTCTAGCTGGGATTCACTCAGGTTGTAAAGTGTTAGATTCTCTGGAGCCCATGGGATCACTGGAGATATGTGTGCGTGTGGTCATTGCCCTGGCCTAGACAAGTCAGGATCTTGGAGGTAATTCTCCTTATCCCTCCCCCTCCCCCATCCCAAACCCCTATCTTCTCCCTTCTGCCCATGGCCAACAACAAGGAAGGAAAAAAAATCCTTAAAGTTCAGTGCCCTCAAACTCCCTGGCCTCTTGGTTACTTCTTTCCTGATTACCAAGATTCTGCAGGTTTAGCTTCTGTTCAGCCTGCCTCTGGGGTCTCCGGGGGTCCTGGAGCTGGACCACAAATGTCTGGTAGAGCTGGATCTCCTCTTTTTGTATCTGACAGCCGGAAGTAATCTCTTCTGAGAACAGATAGTGGCGACACTCCCGGAATTTATTATCAAATCTCTGGTACCTAGAGAACGGTTATAAGAAAGAAGGATGACGGGGCAAACGTGGGCGCTGCATACATCCATAGCCTAGCCTCATCTCATAGGAACTGACAACTTAGCCCATGAGAAACCAGTATGGTGCCTGAGAAGCTGGCTACCCTCTTTTTGGATTCCCATGCAGTCTCTCTCAGCTAGTCCACCTTCTTTTCTTTCCTGTGCTACCCACCCTCCCTTCTCATACCTATAGTGCAGAGTCAGGTTGGTTGGCTGGGGCTCAGAACTGCTATTCCAAGTACAATTCATATACTCGACATTGAACACGAAGCATTGAACCTCTGGGAGGGGCCGAGGAGGAACACTGATGTGTCCATGGAAGAAACCTAATTTGGGAACAAAATGAAGTAGTGGAGTAGAAGAAAAGAAATCCTGATCAGGAGAAGCAGAGTGAGGCAGAGAGCTCTTTCCTAGGCCCTCCCCGCTCTACTCTTTAGAGTCATTATAATGGCCACTATCAGGCTCCAGATTTCTTCCATACAGTCCTTTCCCCATAGCCTTTCTCCTCTCAACAACCCCCTCTGGTCCTAGATTTCCTACCAGTTTTGGTGTCTTCATTTCCACTGGGCATGAGAACCTTGGAGCTCCACCCTTCCCCTAGCAGGAGCAGCTGAAGCAGTAAGAAGGATCTAGGTGGCAATAATGGTTTCAACATGGCGCTTGCTCCTCTTTCTCTCGGTGTAGTGGTGTAGTCTGTGTGGTTTGAACTGGTTTCTGAAAACCCCGCCCCACCCATACATTTCCTTTTGTCGTAGCATCCGGTGGAAAGAACCTTAGAAACCACGTCTGTGGGGGGTGGGGTGGTAAATGAGTTCAGTGACATAGGCTAAGTCCTCTGGGAAATTGGGTTCTGCTGCAAGGTGATGTTAGGTCAAGATTAATACTTGATCAACAACAGTGTTGCAGAGTTAAGAATCTTCAGGCCACCTAGGTCAAAGAAGGGGCTGCTGAATCCCCACCCCCCCACTACACTCCATCATTCCCAATCACCTTCTCCACTAAGTTATCTTTTAGAGTAGAGGGCCTGAACACCCCTCATTCTGTGTTATGATCCTTCCTTGACTAAGTCACCCTTAAACCTCTATCAAAGTTCTACAGTCTTGGGAGGGTGGAAAATGCTGGCTTGATTCATGTGGGCACATATATAGCTGTTTTTCCTCTGACCTAACCTGAACTAGAATAGCCACCCCTGGCTGTTGCCTGAGCTTGGTCCCTCTTAACACTGCTAGAGCTGGCTTCTCAAATGAAGGAACAACAGTACTAGCTTCAGGCTCCTCCATTCCCTGCACATCTGCTTCTCTTCCTGTCTTTCTTGTCCTGGTTAAAGGTATCATCACCTGCCAAATTTGAAACCTCAGGATCCTCTTCATATCCCCCTTCTCTCCCATGCTGAGAATCCAATCAGCCCTGGTTTTGTGGTATTTTTCCCAGCAGTTTCCTCTTTTCTGGTACCACAGCCACTGCACTAAATCAACCTCTCATTACCTCTAAGTCATGATTATCCCTGTCCCCTTTCTAAAGGGCCTGCTCTCTATCTAGTCCTTTCTTCATTCCGTGGCTAGATTTACCTTCCCTCAAAGCACAGGGTTGATTAGAGAAGCCATTTACTGAAATTGTTTATCCAGCCAACATTTATTGAGTCTTTATTATGTGCTAGGTACAGTGTTTATGTTCTGAGAACATAGGACAAATAAGATGTCATCATTTTAGAAGCTCATAGATAAGTGGGAGAACATATAAATAATACAATCTACTGTAATGAGTTCTCCAGAATAGATGTGGAGATTCTCTGAAACACAGTTGTACAAAGGTCGGAACCAGCCAGATGCTCTTTTCCTAAGCCTGATTTGCTACTCCATTTTCTCTCTGGTAAAATTACATTCATTTTTTTTTCAGATTCTGCTTTAAAAGCATCTCTTCAGTAAAGTGCCCTTGAACTACCCTCTTTCCATCTTGGTCAATTTAGTTACTTCTCTTTTTCTGGGAAAGGTGGGGTGGTGATGGTGAGACAGGGTCTCATGGACGCAGCTGGCCCCAAACTTGGTATGCAGTGAGGCCAGCTTTGAACTCCTGATCCCTCTGTCTCCCTCTCCTAAAGTGCCCGGAATTACAAGGAAGTGCCAGCATGCTTGGCTTGTGATCCTCACCTTAACCATACCTTCTAAAAACCCCTTTGGTCAAAGAAAATCACCAATTTGGAGTGCACATGTCTTTTGGGAGGCTACCATTTGGCCTATGACAGAGGGGGTTATTCACCTCAGTCTTCAGACACTATCCATAGCCTTTAGGATTAAGATTCCATTAATCTATACTAGCCACACTGCATACATGTTTGCATACTCTTTGATTTCGCTACTGCCTAACATAGAGAAGGATCCCCTCTTAGAATGGCCAAAATCTACCATCAAATCTGAGTTACCAGGGGAATCAACAGGAAGCAATAAGAACTCTTATTCAGTGCTGGTGGGAATGGAAGACTCCAGGTTAATTCCCGCTTCTTGATTTTGTTTTGTCTTTTTGAGACAGGTTTCTCTGTGTAGCCCTGGCTGTCCTGGAACTCGCTTTGTAGACTAGGGTTGCCTCTATCTCAGAGATCCACCTGTCTCTGCCTCTCAACTAAAGGCATGCATTACCATGCCTGGCGGCATTTTTCTACCCTCCCCTTAAAGCTCTCTGTACTTATATAAAAAAAAAAGCTCGCTGTACTTTGGGTGATAATGATGTACCAATGTAGAATATGAATTCAACAGTTTAACAAAATGTACCACTCTAGGGTGAGATGAGGAGGCCGAGGGAGTGAACTGGAGCAGTTTCAGCTTCACAGCAATATTAAGCAAACGGAACTAACTCTACCTTGCCAGGAACCTGAAATTGCTCCAATTTTTTCAAACAAAGTCTCAAATTCACTGTGTAGCTAAAGGTGATCTAGAATCCTGGTCTTTCACCTCCAGTCGAAAGTGTTGGGATTACAGGCATGTACCACTATCCTTAGCTGCCATTTCTGTCTTTGAAGGCCTTCAGAGGTGACTCAAAAGTCACACCAGTAGATTTTCCTCTACGCAATAAGATTATAGTTTTTTAAGGCGGCCTTTGTAATTCTCCTCCAATGGCCCCACTGCTAAGGGTTTAGATTTGTGGACCGTTATCAGTATTTCACTTGCTATTTATTCATTCATTCGTTCATTCGTTAATTCATCTATCTATCTATCTATCTATCTATCTATCTATCTATCTATCTTGCTGTTTGTTTGTTTGAGACAGAGTCTCTCTATGTAGCCTTGGCAGTCCCCAAACTCTCTATTGGCCTCAAACTCAGAGATCAGTCTGTCTCTCTCTCCAGAGTGCTAGAATTACTGTCATTATATCACCATGACCAAATACTTATTTTGTGTGCATGTGTGCATATTTGTGAGAACAAGTAAGTTCCTTCCAGCATATGGGTCCTGGGGATTGAACTCAGGCTATCGGGCTTGGTGGCAAGCACCTTTAGTTGATGAGCCGTTTTGCTGGCCCTGATTTTGGTACTTCAATTATGGCACTTTAACATTTTTTTTCTCTAAAAAAATTACCATAATAGACAGACTATCACCTATGTAATACTGGGCACGCAATTTTTTTTAAAAGATTTATTTATTTATTATGTATACAACATTGTGCCTGCATATATGCCCACACGCCAGAAGAGGGCGTCAGATCTCATTACAGATGGTTGTGAGCCACCATATGGTTGCTGGAAATTGAACTCAGGTCCTGTGGAAGAGCAGGGAGTGCTCTCAACCGTTGAGCCATCTCTCCAGCCCCCTGGGCACGCAAAATTTCACTCTTTGAAAACCAGCTTCCTTGAGCCAGGTATGTTGGTACACCTTTAATCCCAGCGCAGGAGAGGCAAAGGCAGGAGGATCTCTGGGACTCTATATAGTCTAGATACAGCAAGCTTTAGGACAGCCAGTACAACATAGTGAGACACCACCCCCCACCCTCCCACCCCTGTCTCAAATAAAGAAAACGAGCTTCAGCCGGGTGGTGGTGACGCACGCCTTTAATCCCAACACTCAAGAGGCAGAGGCAGATCTCTGTGAGTTCGAGGCCAGCCTGGTCTACTAGAGCTAGTTCCAGGACAGGAACCAAAGTCACAGAGAAACCTGCCTCGAAAAACAAAACAAAAAACAAAAAAAGAAAAGAAAGAAAGAAAAAGAAAACCAGCTTCCTCATCCAGAAAATGGAGACACAAACAGTTCTTAAATCACAGAGAGTGTGGATTAAAGGAGATAATGTCTAAAGCATGTGACATAGTAGGTGTCTCTCACTACAGCAAAAGTTCTTTTCTTTTCTTTTTTGTTATTTGTTTTTTTGAGTCGGGGTTTCTCTGTGTGATAGCCTTGGCTGTCTTGGAATTCACTCTGTAGATCAGGCTGGCCTCAAACTCACAGAGATCTGCCTTCCTCTGCCTCCTGAGTGCTGGGATTAAAGGCGTGCACCACTACCACCTGGCAAGTTCTTTTTTAAATTTATTTTTAATTTTTTAAAATTTATTTTTAATTTTTTTTAATTTATTTTTAATTTAAAAAAGATTAATGGCTGAGCGGCGGTGGCGCACGCCTTTAATCCCAGCACTCAGGAGGCAGAGGCAGGTGGATCTCTGTGAGTTCAAGGCCAGCCTGGTCTAAAGATCCTGTTTCAGGACAGCCAGGACAATACAAAGAAATCTTGTCTCAAACAAACAAATAAAAATATTAGCCTGGCCGGGCGGTGGTGGCGCACGCCTTTAATCCCAGCACTTGGGAGGCAGAGGCAGGGGGATCTCTGTGAGTTCGAGACCAGCCTGGTCTACAAGAGATAGTTCCAGGACAGGCTCCAAAACCACAGAGAAACAACAACAACAAAAAATATTAATAATTTTTTTTTAAAAAATAATTTTTTAGATTTATTTATTTTGTTTTTATGCATACTAGTGTTGGATTGCATGTGTATATATGTAGGACATGCATGTGTGGTGCCTGTGGAGGTGAGAAGACGACGTCAGCTACTCTGAAACTGAAGTCATGAAGGGTTGGGTGCCACCATGTGGGTGCTGGGAGTCCCATTTAGGTCTTCTGCAAGAGCAACAAATGCTCTTAAGCACTGAGCCATCTCTCCAGCCCTAGATGTATTATTATTATTTGGTTTTTCTAGACAGGGTTTCTCTGTGTAGCTATGGAGCCTGTCCTGGAACTCACTCTGTAGCCCAGGCTGGCCTTGAACTCACAGAGATCAGCCTGCCTCTGCCTCCTGAGTGCTGGGACTAAAGGCGTGCGCCACCACTGCCCAGCTCCAAGATTTATTAATTTTTACTCACTGTGTTTGAGTGTTTTGCCTGCATGTCAGTCTATGCACCATATGCCAAAAGGATCCAGAAGAAGGAGTCAGAACCTTAGGAACTGGAGTTATAGGCTATTGTTAGGTCATCAGATAGGTGCCATGAATTGACTCCTTGCCCTCTGGAACAGCAGGCAGTGCTCTTAATCCTTCTGCCACCTCTGCAGGTCCTCTTTTTTAAATTGATTATTTATTGAGACAGGGTCTCACTGTGTCGCCCTGGCTGTCCTGGAACTCACAGAGACTGCCTGCTTCTGCCTCAGGAATGCTAGGGTTTAATGCCCTTTGCCACCAAGCCTGGCAAATATTCTTTTTT